GGGGCGGCGTGCCGGGCGCGGGCGCGGGGCCCGCGCCCGCCGACGCCGCCCCGGCGGCCACCGCCGCGGCGGACGCCGCGGGCGCCGCCGCCAGCGCGCCGGCCGGCGCTCCCGCTCCAGGGCCCGGCCTTCACCACCCCACCGTCTACCAGCCCCACCAGCCGCCCGTGGGCGCTGCGGCGCTAGAGGAGATGTCTCCCATCGGCAATGCCATGATGCTGGCGCCCACCAGCATCCCGGGGCAGCACAGCATCACGGTCAACGACCCTCAAGCCATCGTCCCCTCCCTCAGCTTCCTCAAGCAGCGCGCCCTGGCGCGGCAGAAGCTGGAGCGTCTGGATCAGGCGCAGCAGGCCAGCGCCGCCGCCAGCCGCGGCGGGTACATCGCCGAGGCCAAGCGCGTGCTGGCGGCGGCGGTGCACACGGCCACAGCGCAGGAGGCGGCGGTGGTGGAGTCCAGGTGGGTGGGTGGGCTTGCGGGTGTGGTGCGGCGTGGCGGCGCACCTGCGCCCTGCGATTGTGTGTCGCACGTGTTGTGCGCGGCTGTGCGGGTCCTTTGGTTGTGTGTGCCTGTGGCTGTGGGGCTGTGCTGGCCTGGATGCCCAGCCGGCAGCCCTGCTGTGCAACCCTTCCACCCTGCGCTGCCGCTTGAGCCCCGTGCCGCTTCTTTGAAGCCCGCTGGCAGCACCCAAAACCAAGCTCCGCCACAGCCGCCGCACTGCCTCACTCCCCTGCTTCCTGGCCTCCCTGCTCACCCTCCCCTGCCCCTGCCCCTGCCCCTCCCCGGCGGTACCGCCACCGCAGCTGCTCCGGCGCCATCGGCCCGCTGCTGCGGTACCTGCGGGACAACAAGCACAACGACGCGGCGCTGCGCTCGGGCCTGCACACCCTCAGCCTGCTCGTGTCCAACTCGCCCAACCGCGGCATCATCGTGTCGTTCCACGTGAGGCGTGCTGGGTGTGCTTAGGGCCTGTGGATGCGGGGTGTATTTGTGTTTTAGCCCTGGTCGGTGGTTTGTGCTTGTGTGGGCGCGCGCGTGTGTGTGCCCGCAGCTGCCACACCCCCGCCTCTCTCGGCCGCCACCTGGGCGCCCCACCGCCGCCCCTCCGCCGCCCTTCTGCCCTCCCGCCTCGTCACCCCACCCATCCTCACCCTCCGCTCCCTGCCCTCACCCGCCACCTGCCTGCCCCGCCACCCTGCCCCTCGACCTGCTCCTCTCACCCTCCACTCCCTGCCCTCACACCGGCCACATGCCTGCCCGTCACCCTGCGCCTCCACCTGGTGCAGGGCCAGGCCATGCTGTGCGAGGCGATGCGGGCCAGCCGTGACCTGGGCATCCGCGAGAACATCGTGCAGCTACTGTGGGACCTGGAGGCGCACAACCAGGAGTGCCACCTGGACCCGGGTGCGCACGCACGCCGGGCCGGGCCGGCCTGCTGCCCTGCTGCCCTGCCGGCGGCGGCCTGCTGGGCTGCGCCTGCACCTGTGTGCCCTTGCGCTGCGCCTGTGTGCGCCTGCGTGTGCGCCTGCGTGGCACCGGGCCGCTTCCGGGGGAGGTTTGGGAGCGTGTCGGGGCGCGGTGCCAGGGCGTCTGCGTGGCGTGGCTCGCCGTACCCGACCCCTGGCCGTGCCTGCTCGTCTCATACCTGACCCTTGGCAGTGCCTGCTCCCCTCCCTCCCCACCTCGCCTGCCTGCAGACGACATCCAGGCGCTGCAGTCTGTGCTGGAGGCCACCAGCAACGCCCTCATCGCCTCCCACATCCTCCACCTCCTGCACCACTGCCTCGCCCACCCCGAGCCGCCGCCGATGACCGCGGAGCAGATGCAGCGTGAGCCTGCCCGCCGCGCCACGCGCACCCTCTCTGCCACCCTGCCGCTGCCACGCGTGCCCCCTCTGCCACTCTGCCGGCCTCGGCAGCACCAGGCTTGCTGCTGGTGTGGGGTGGGAGGAGCTGAGGAGGAGAGGGCGAGTGCTGGAGGCATGCGCTGGCCCCCTGGGCATGCCTGCTCCCGTGGCTCGGCCGCCAACGCCGCACCCGCCGTCATGGCCTCACCCTGCCCCCTTCCCTCCTGCCCTCGCTCCCGCGCATGCTGCCCACAGTGTGCGCCCAGCGCCTGGTGAACGAGATTGCGGCGCACAAGCATCACCTGCAAGACGCGGCGCAGGTGGGCCGCACTGGCTGCGTGGTTTGGTGGTGGGCGGTGCCTGATCTCTTCTAGTATTTGTACTGCTGGGGAGCGCTGCAAACCCTCCTGCGCGTGCCTGCCAGCGCGCCAGCCCGCGCTGTCCTTCCATGCAGCCATGTTCCATCCCTGCTGCGGCGCCTCCTCACCCGTCTCTTCCTCCCAAACCCCATCTGTACCGCTGCAGTACACCCTGGGCAATCTGATGGCGGTGGTGCTGGGGGACGGCCGCGTGGGCGTGCCGCAGCGCCAGGCCATGGTGGCCCGCCTGCTCGAGGAGCTACGCCGCACCACCACGCCGGGGCAGTGCCAGGGTGAGCCGCCGCTGTGTGCCGAGGCCGGCTGGGGATGGTGCCGGGGCTGGCGCTTGGGCTGGGGCTGGGGACGGTGGTGGGGCTGGCAGCGCCCAGTGCCCGTGCCTGGATGTTCTGTGGCTGGCCCCTTGCTTGAGTTGGGAGCTGGGCCGCCCTTTGCGAGCATCGGCGCATGGGCCACCTGCCGGCTTGCTCGCCCGCCAGCTCACCCCGCCCCCGCCGCGCCCTGCCCCGCCGTGCCCTGCCGTGCAGTGGTGCTGACGGTGCTGAGCTGCGTGGCGGGCGAGCCCAGCGTGCGCAGCGCCATGGCCGCTTGCCACGCGCGGCGCCGCCTCATGGACTTCTCCCAGCGGGTGGGCGACCCGCGCCTGCGCGCCCGCTCCCTGTCCCTCATCAAGATACTGCACAAGCAGGAGGCGATGGAGTCGCGGCCCGAGCAAGCCGTGGGCAGCTGGTACTTTGGCGGCGGCGGCGGCGGCGGCGGCGGCAGCGGGCCCGGCACGAGCGGCTCCTCGCCGCCGCGCTCGCGATGAGCCCGCTGCGGCCCGGCGGCCGGAGCCCGCCTGCCCCCCCCCGGCAGCTGGTGCTGGGCCCGTGGCCGGCGCTCCCTTCCTGTACTGTACCGCTAGATTCAAACCATCCACCCAGCCTGAGATTCCATACAGCATGAGCAGCCCAAGTCAGCAATAATCAATCAATGGCGCCGCGCCGCGAGGGCGCCGCTCGCACGCCTCTGCCGCTCCGTGCGTGCTCCCCGTCGAGGCGCCGCCATATAATACGTGAGGTCAGTTCCACAACGAACGCCGCGCACCTCGCCCTCTGTCTACGTTCCCTTTCCTGCCTGTGGGTGCTGCAACCAAGCGAGTTGATGTGATGCCTTGTTTTTTCCCTCCAGCTGCCGGCAGCTGCGCTGCCGGCCCATTTTTGATCCCCCTTTTCACACGATCCCATTTGAGCTGTGGGTGCTGCAACCAAGCGAGTTGATGTGATGCCTTGTTTTCCCTCGCCTCGCCTGCTTGCTGTCGCTCAACACGCCACCACAGCTCCCCTGCCCTCTCTACGATGTCCTGCGCAAGTTTTGCCCCATTCGTTTGTTCCCTTTCTTCTTCGTCTCCCTCCACCGAACTGGAACTTCTTTGTTCTTTCCTGCAACCCGTCACCATGCCCATTAATGTGCGCCTTGCCTGTGGCTCGCGTTTGAGACGCAGGGGAGGCAGCACCACCGCACGACTGCAGCTGCCGCTCCCGCCCGCCTGCCTGCCCTCGACATCTTTTCCCCTGCTTGCGGCGCGGCCCATCTCTCCTCCTCATTTTTTCATTCAACTTGTCGTGGGCAACATGTGAGATTATGCAGTCCAGGCAGGAGGGAGGGGGCACAGGACGGCGGCTGGCGACAACTGTTGATGCGCTTCCACGCTGCGCACGCCATGCTGTTTGGATGCACAAGTTCTTCCCTGCGCTCTCTCTGCGCTCTCTCTCCACACCTACCGGCGCCTTCGTCTGTATCAGTCAAGCCTGGATCGCTCACGGGCGCGATAACACACCCACGCGATTCATCCTCATGAGAACTCGCAGGGCCGGCAAGGCCGGGGCTCTGCCGGCTGCTGAGCCGGAGGAGGCGCGTCCCGCGGTGCGGGGAGCGATAGGGGGCGTTCGAAAGAAACGCGGGGCCGCGGGCGGCAAGGCGGCGGCCGTCCTGACCAAACGAGTGACGCTTCGTGGGCGCACTGTGAGCAGCAGGGAGGGCAGGCCTGCGCAGCCGAGCGCCTCCCAGGAGCAGCCCGGACCTGGGTCCTCCAATTCTGCACCAGCAGGACAGCAGCAGCAGCAGCAGCAGGCCGGGCAGCAGGCCGCCGCCGCGGCGGGTCGCCAGCAGGTGGCGGCGGCGGCGCGCAAGCGGCGCGGCCAGCTGGCGGCGGCCAAGTCCTCGGCTCCAAACATAGAGGGGCTGACGACAGAGGCGCTGCAGGAGATCTTCTTGCATCTTAGAAAGGAGGATGGAGAGCAGCAGAGCTACTGCAGGTGCGGAGGTTTGACTATAGAGGCCTGGGAGTCAAAGTGCGGTCTGTGCACACGACGTCCCCTCCAGTGTCCGGCCCTCTCCCTGGGCGTGCTGCGGCACGGCGCCTGACCTCCTGCCCCCATCCCGCTCCCTCCGCTGCCTGTGCCCCTGCAGGGAAACCCTGCCGCTGGTGTGCAAGCGCTTCCGCGACGTGCTGCGAGAGCCCAGCGCTGTGTGGGAGGTGCCTGGCCGCCGCCGCGGCAGCCGCCGCTGCCACGCTGCGTCCCCTTGCCTGGCCAAGCCTCCCCTGCCTCACGCCCTGCCGTTTTCCTCTCTGTCCTCCTCCTGCTGCGTGGATTGTGGGCCTGCCCACCTCCCTGCTGGACCTGCTCACCTCCCCGCCACTCACCTGCCCCTCCTTTCCTCCTGCCCCCACCACGCCGCCACGCAGACGCTGCATGTGGACTTCATCCAGAAGGACCAGGCCCTGCTGTTCCCCGAGCTTTTTGATGAGTCCGGCACCGAGCCGCTGACCTGGGGCCTGGACGGCACCTGCCGCCGCCTGCTGCACACTGCTGTGGAGCGCTGGACGGCGCCGCGCGCCGCCGCCGTCAAGCGCCTGGTCCTCTCGTGAGCGGCCTGCCCTGGCCTGCCCTTCCCTGCCCGGCCCGGCCTTGCCCTGCTGCCGCTGTTGTTGCTCTTGCTGCGGCCTGGTGAAGGCCGCTTGCCAAGAAGGCCACAGAAGGCCACCAAATGCCGTGTATGCTGCACCGCTGCCGAGCGCCGCGCTCTGCACACCGCATGCACGGCCCGCTCCGCCCCCAACCGATGCCGAATGTTTTCCCTGCCCCCGCCTCCCCCGCGGCTCGGCCCACCCACCCCGCAGCTTCTCGGCGCGCGACCAGACGCACAGCTTCCCCAAGACGGGGCGCGGGCTGCGGCCGCTGTTCAGCCTGCTGGGCCCCACGCTGCAGGAGCTCTACATTGCGCACTGCTCAGACATCTTCCACGCAGCTTCCTTCAAAGACCTGCCCATGCTGCCGGTGCGCCACATGGCACGGCTGGTTGCCCGTTCCAGGCTTGTGCAATGCCACCTCGAGCTGCGCCAGATGCTGCCCTTCACCCCATCCGGTCCCCTGCTGCCCTTTCCTCACCCCTTGCATCAGGCAGTACCATGCCGGCCAGCCCAGCTCCAGCCTCCTGCCGCTGCCGTCAATGCCATCTCCTGCCCCCTGCCCTCAACCCCCTCCCCCTGACTTTGCCTGCCCCCTCACCGGCAGAACCTGGAGTCTGTGGCTGTCACCTTCATGACTGGCAAGGTCCCCGCAGCCGACCTGGCCCCCCTGGAGCAGCTGCCCAGGCTGCGCTCGCTGACGCTGTCGGCCAGCCGGTCGGCGGAGGAGGGCGGGGAGCACTGCCTGGACGCCTTCCCAGACATGCTCACCAGGCTGAAGGGCCTCACCTCGCTGGCGCTGTGCTCCCAGGGTGAGCGTTCTCACCGTGTGGGGGCTGGCGGCTTCCTGCTGCGCCGGCAGGCGCCGCATGGCACTGTCCCTTTGCCGGCCACGCTGCGCGCCACCCCGCAGTGCCGGCGCTGCCGCCACCGGCAGCTGCTGGCAGCGCCGCGCCATGTCACCGCGGCTTGCGCTTAGCCGTCTGGCCGGCTGCCTGCTGCCGCCTGCAGGCATCGCGGTGCTGCCCGGCCACATCACCAAGCTGCGGTCGCTGGCCAGCCTGGATGTGTCGGGGTGCCCGCTGTCCTTCCTGCCCGCCGTGCTGTGGCGCCTGGCCGCGCTGCGCCGCGTGCGCCTCAACGCCACCCACCTGGCGGTGTCGCTCGCGCACACCTGGGAGCCGCTGACTAAGCTGCCGGCGCTGGAGTCGATTGAGCTGCGGTGGGTGGACAGACGGGCTGGGTGGGTGGTGATGCGTGGCTCGCTTGGTGGCCAGGCCTGGGCCTGAGGCCTTGCTTTGGGTAGTTGGCTGGCCCACACAAGCGTGCCTCGTGTGTGCCACGCCTGGCCCCAAACGTGGGGCGTCCCCTCCCTCTTTGCCAACCCTCCCCCGGCCCCCTTCCTGTGCGCCCCCCGCAGCGACTGCAACGCTCCCAGCCTGCCGCCGGCGCTGACAGGCCTGCACGCCCTGACCTCCCTGGATCTCAGCGACAACAGCTTTGAGGTGGTGGGCTGGCAGGAGGAGGGGCTGCACGCCCTGGTGGGGCTGCCCAAGCTGCAGGCGAGCTGGAGGGGACAGGGGGGGCTGGGGAGTGTGGATTTGTGGATGGGTGGGGGTGGGTGGAGGGCGGTGTGGGCCTGGGTGGGGGTGGTGCTCGTGGCATGTGCGCCCGGCGTTGAGCCGGTACCGCTGCAAGGGACCGCGGCAGCTGAGGAGCGGCCGTACTGCCTTGCTGCCATGCCCGCCGCCCTCCTCAGCATGCTCCCTCCCTGCCCCCTCTCCCCTCCCCTCCCCTGCAGCGCCTGCTGCTGCGCTGCTGCCAGCTGCCGTCGGTGCCGCCCGAGGTGGGCGCAATCTCCCGCCTCACACACCTGGACCTGTCTCGCAACCAGCTGGTGGAGCTGCCGCCGAGCATGAACGGGCTGGCTTCGCTGCGGGAGCTGGTGGCGGAAGGCAACTGCTTCCCACGCATCCCGCAGGCATGCACCCAGCCTGCGCCGGCTGGCTCGGGACAGCGGGCTGGTGGGGCGCGCGCGTGTGCGCCTGCCTGGGTGCCGGCGGGTGTGGTGAGAGCGTTGCTGGGCGGCGGCGGAGGAGCTGGCTGGTGCCCTCCCAGTATCACCCCCCCCCCCGACCCAACTCCCTCGGCTCCCTCTCGCCAGGCCCTGACCAGCTGCTTGGCTGCCCCTTCCTGCTGCCCCTGCAGGTGCTGGCTGAGCTGCCGGCCCTGGAGGTGGCTGACCTGTCCTTCAACATCTACATGGAGGCCGCGGCGTCGCTGCAGCCGCTGGTGGGCGAGGGGGGGCTGAGCCGGCTGCGCCGCCTGGACCTCAGGCAAGACGGGAGGGCTGAGGGCTTGCTGGCTAGGCTGGGCTGGGGTGGGGTGGAATGGGTGTGGCATGCCAATTGGCATGGCGGGGCTGCGGTTTTGTTTGTGGGGAGTGCAAGCAGCGCTTGGTGATGCGGCATCCAGGCGCCTGGTGTGCCACTAGTTAGGACACGCGCTGCCTGCTGCGTTCCTGTTGCGTGCCTGCCGCGTATGTGTGCAGGAAGATGCTGGGCGCCTGGAAGCAGAGCAGCATCAGGTGGCTGCGGGGCCTGGTGCAGGAGCTGGAGCAGCAGCGGGCCGCCAGCGGCGGGGCGCGCCCCGTGGTGCTCTGGGACTGAGCTGCAGGCGCCGCACGTAGCGCCAAGCGCGCTGGGTGATGCGCCTGGAGCCTCACCGGTGTGTGGTGTGGCAGAGGCGGCAGCGGTGTGCAGCCATACAGGTGGCGGTGAGCGGTGGCGCCTCGCCTGGCGCGTGTAAATACATGCGGTACGATGGAACTGCTTTTATGAGAGATGCGCTGTAGTAGTTAGTTAGTGTAGTGTGTGGACCTGAGTTCTGAGTCGCTGCTTTTTTGCTGCTGAATCAACTAGCTGCCCTGCTTTGAACTTGAAAACTGCCTGTCCTGCTGAGGCCTCTCCCTGTGCCTTGGAAGCGTTTGCTGTGTCTATAAGATGGTCGGCTTACAGGCTGCGCCAGGCGTCCGACCCAGCAACAGCCGCAGCCCCACAGAATGCGATGGCATGGAATGGATGCACGAGGAAAAATGGATGCATGAAATCAGCTGAGCGCCCCGACAGCCCACCTGCCTGCCTGCTGGCGTTGCTGGCGCTGGGACGCAGAGCCTGGAGGGGGTGGCTGGAGGCTATTGCAGCATGCCGGCGTCGTGCGCCCTGCGGCGGGCAGCATCGGCCTTGTAGCCGCGGCTGAGGCCCAGCGGGGAGTCTGGGAGGCCCAGCAGGGCGGGGCCAAAGTCCCGCAGCTCCCTGGCGTTGCCGTTTGTGAGGAAGAGGGCGCGCAGCAGAGTGTCGTCGTCCGGTGGAGCTGCAGGGAACAAGGCGGGGGAAGGGAGGAGTTCGAAGCGGGAGAGCGCGTGGGAGTGGGCACGCGGCAGGGTGGGGAGGAAGAGCGGCAAGGGGAGGCATGCTTGCGCTGGCCCGGGTTGAGGGATGCGATGACGCAGCATCAACGGCGCCACGTCCCGCGAACTCACCGACACCCACTGCCCCAGCCCGCGGCCGCCGCCCCGCCCACCTGCGTGCCCCGCCAGCACCTCGCTCACAAAGTAGTCTGCCGCCGACTCCACCTCTGGCAGGCAGTAGCGCGGCACGTGGAAGCGGGCCTGCCGCGCCCGCGGCACCCGCAGCTTGTCGCTGACCAGCTGGCCGAAGGTGGGGGCCGCAACGACCACGCCGTTGGCGGGCGGCGGCTGCTCCAGAACGCGGAAGGCGCGGACCTGCAGGGGCGGTGGGGCAGTGGGGTTGGGGTGTGTTGGCACTTGGTCGGCACTTGGTTGGGAGGAAATCGGTGGGGATGGGGGTTGGTGTGTGGGTGTTTGGGCGAAGATCGACGGGCAGCTTTTGAGAGCGGCATGCGGATCCAGAGCAGCATGCAGCATGCAGCATACAGCAACAGAATACAGGCAAGTACAGGCAGGCCGGCGCCAGCTGCGCTCACCAGGCGCAGCTCGTCCGGCGCCAGCTGGCGGCGGTGGAAGCTGTGCAGGCTCTCGTGGTAGCCGGTGTGCGAGTACAGGACATTGTAGTCGTCCACAGCAATCAGGGTGGGCAGCTCGGTGGACGCCGCCACCGCCTCCTTGGCGGCAATGGCTGCGGCCACCACGGCTGCGGGCTTGGCGCCGGCCGCCAGTCCCTCTTCCACCAGCTCCGACAGCGGCTGGCCCGAGGGGGCCTTGACGTCGGGCAGCTGCGCGGCGTGGCTGTCGCGCAGGCTGGACAGCAGCCAGCGGGCGGCCTCGGGGGTATCCCACAGCCCGTCCTCGCCCCGGGTGAAGGTACCGGCTGCGGTGCGGGACGGGAAGGAAGCAGCGGGCAGCGGAACAGGCGGGGGTGAGGCCGCAGGGGAGGCAGAGCCAAGGGGCTGGTGCAGACGAGGCGCTTCGTTGCCAGCCGGTTCAACACCTAGAGACACTGGTGCGCACACACACGCCCGCCTGTGCACACGGCCACACACAGGCCCGGCCGACGCACTCACTCTGCACCAGGGAGAAGGCGGATGGGAGGTAGAGGGCCAGCCAGCCCTGGGCGCGGGCCCAGGCCACCAGGCTGTAGAGAGCCACCGACTTGCCGCTGCCGGCCCAGCCATCCAGGTACAGCTGGCGGCGCGTGCGCTCCTGCACCACCGCCGCCAGCTGCTGCATGCACTCCCTCGCCATCAGGCTGCGCCGCCCCGAGAACTCCCACTCCGCCTGCACCGCCTTGCAGCCGTAGTTGGGCTCGTGCACGCCCTCGCCCTGCACCGCGGCAGGCGGGCGCGCGAGCCAGGCCGTCGGCAGCGGGGCCGCAGGGGTGTGCGCATGCAGCGTATCCCAACCCACAAGCATGCAGCCAGGCACTGCACCACCGCACACTCCACACCACACACCCTACACACGATCTATGCACCAACACGTCCCACAAACACACACCACGCGCACATATCGCACACCCACCCACCCACCCACACAACGCAGCACCCCACCTTGAGCACCGGATCCTCATAGTATTCCTTGGTCGCCTCTGGCAGGATGCCCTGAGGCACCTCAAAGTAGGTCCCCTCAGGCACCTCCAGCAGCCGGCCCACCGGCAGGCCCGGCACCCGCGCGGTGCGCCCGCCTGCGCCCTTGGAGCTGCGGCAGGGAGGGCGGGCGGACAGAGAGGTGGGCCGCTGGATGGGCGGGCAGGTGGCAAGGCGGGCAGGTGTGGGCACAGGCGGCCCCGCGACCGACCAGGCGAGAGCAGCGATGCGGGCAGGTGCGTGGCGGGGGGCGGCGAGGCACCGGCGGCTCACCTGCCCGCTGCGCCGGCCTCTCCCCCCGCCTTCTGCTGCTGCTTCGGCTTGGCGGCCTTGGCTTCCTGATTTGGCTTGGTCTGCTTGGGCTGCTGCTTCTGTGTCTTGGCCCCCGCCTGCTTCTTGCCCGCCTGCTGCTCTGCCTTCTGTTTGGGCTGCATCGGCGCTGCGGCCGGCTGGTTTAACGCCTCTGCCGACGGCGCAGCAGCCTCTGCTGCTGGCAATGCCGGCTCTGCTGCTGCTGCGGCAGCCGCTGCTGGTGCAGGTATTGTCGGCTCCGTTGCTGCGGGCTCAGCTGCTGCAGAAGCTGGTGCTGAAGGCTGCTCCGCGCTGCCGCCCGCCTCTGTCGCCGCGTGCCGCCGCTGCGCATGCCAGGCGGCGCTGCAGCAAGGGCGCAGCTGCGCGTGCACCGCCGCCACCGCATCGCCCAGAGCAGGCGACTGGTAGGTGGTGGCGCGGGCCAGGAGCTGCAGGAGCCGCCCCCTCATCGCTAATGCAGCCTCGCAGGCTCGACTCTTAGCACCAGCGCCCCTGCTGCCGAGCTGCAATCAGAGTTCTGCGTAAAGTGTGACAGCCAGCCAGCCAAGTGCCAGGCGTGGGGGTGAAGAGGCGAGGTGGGCCGGGGCAGGGCGTGGCGAGGCTTTCAGCAAATCGTGTGATCGTGTGATTACCACACGCCCATCGGCAATTGCTGATTGCACGGGCAGGAGGCAGCGGCAACATGTACTGCTGGTTGGCTGCCGTACAAGCCAGGTCGGGCGGGGCGTCCCAGAAAGCCTCCCAGAAACCTTGAAGGGGTCGATCAAACAGACAACCTATTTCGGCATTTTCTGACACCAGTTTGCGCCACGCTTGGCGTCCCTTGCGCTTTGCTCGCGGCGCTGTATGTGTCAAGGAGCAATGGCGACCAACGGTGATATCGAGAAGGTGGGAATTGAGCGGGCAGGATCCCCGCTGTGCGCCAGATTGCCGCGCGGCCCATTTAGTTGGGCGCAGAGGAGGGCCCCTGGGGCGGGAGACGGCTGCCGGGGGGTGGGGCGGGCGCTGGTCCAGAGATCTGTGCGCCATGTGAGGCATTGCCCTGCCCTCTGCACCTGCAGGTGGGAGTGCTCGTGATTGGCAGCGGGCCCACCGGGCTGGGCGCAGCCACCCGCCTGCACCAGCTGGGGCACCCCTCATGGCTGCTGGTGGATCAGGCGAGTGGCCAGGCCGCAGCACTGTCTCCGGGCTGCCGGTCTGCGGTCAGCAGCGAAGCCCCGCCTGCGCGCCGCCTCGCGTGTACCTGCTAAGCACGGCCCGTGCCTCCCCCACGGCTGCCAAACTGGCAGCAAGAGCAGGGCACCTGGGGCATGAGCAGGCCGCACAGAACGAGGCGCCGCTGCTCACCCGGCCCGCCCGCTTGCCCCCGCTCCCTCTCCCGCCAGGCGGCCGAGGCGGGCGGCCTCGCGTGCACCGACGTCACCCCCGAGGGCTTCCTCTTTGACATGGGCGGCCACGTCATCTTCTCCCACTACCAATACTTTGACGACCTGCTGGACACGGGTGGGTGCTGGGCGCTGGGTGGTTGCAGCCCAGCAGCCCGAGCTGGGAGCCCTGGAGGCTGGGAGCGCCTGGCGGGCTGGTTGGGGTGTGCAGGCGGGGTGCTGGTGCGTGGGCGGACAGCACCCAGAAGAATGGAGCCAGCGGCGGGTTGTGGGTGTTTGTGAGCGGACGGGCAGCATGTGTATGGTTGATGACGGGGCACAGGGAGCGCTGGGGAGTGGCCCGCAGGGCTAGGGCGCAGGCGGGCGGGCCGACGTCTGTTTGCCCCTGTCTCGCCGGCGAGCAGCAGCCGCCGTGCCTCACCCCGCGCGCCCCGCCCCTCCCTGCTCGCGCGCCGCCCACGCAGCCATCGGGGCTGGCGACGAGGCGTGGAACACGCTGGAGCGGGTGTCGTATGTGTGGCTGAAGAACCGCTGGGTGGCCTACCCCTTCCAGAACAACATCTCGGCGCTGGACAAGGAGGACCAGGTGGGGCTGAGGTGGCACGCTGAGGTGGCACGCTGAGGTGGCGCGCTGAGGTGGCGCGCTGGGGTGGCGCTGGGGTGGCGGCAGAGGTGGCGCTGGGGTGGCGCTGAGGCGCGGCGATGGCAGCAGCGCTCTTGCCCTACTCCAGCCGGCGAGTTTGTGGGTGGGAGGCGCCAACCGGCGTCCTAGATGGGTGGGCGTGTGGATGGGTGGGACGGGCACCCGTGGGGCGGCAGGACTGGCTACGGGCGGTTCCGCACTGACCCCTGCCTGGCCCCACCCTGCCCACCCCCGCCCTCCCGCAGATCAAGTGCCTGACGGGCGTGGTGGAGGCCAAGGTGCTCAACACCACGGCGCAGGGCAAGCCCCGCAACTTTGACGAGTGGATCATGCGGGTTATGGGGCCCGGCATCGCAGACATCTTCATGCGCCCATACAACTTCAAGGTGCGCAGGTGGCGCGGAGGTGGTGCAACCCAAGGGTTCAAGGCGTGCGGCTCTGGCTGGTGGGGCGCAAAGGGCCGCGCAGAGTGTTGCCGGGAGGGAGCGGCAAGCGGCTGGGAGGGTGCCTGCGGGGGTTTGTGTTGGCGGCGGGCAGCTGGCCTGCAGCGGTGGGATGCAAGCCAGGAGGAAGGTTGTGTGCCGGCCATGCAAGCTTGTGCTGACGCCGCGCCGCGCCTCGTTCCTCCCGCCTGCAGGTGTGGGCGGTGCCCACCACGCTCATGCAGTGCGACTGGCTGGGTGAGCGGGTGGCCACGGTGGATGTGGACCGCGCCATCGCCAACGTAATCAACAACAAGGAGGATGCGGGGTGGGGACCCAACGCGGTGTTCAGGTGTGCGCCTGCAGGGGCCGGAGCCGGGGCCTGCCGCGCCTGGCAGCGCGGCGGCGACGTGGAGGCTGCTTGCTTGCCGTGTTGGCCCCACCTGTGCGCCTCCTTACCTCCCCTGGCCACCACCACCGCCCCCGGCCACCTCGCCGAGCAGGTTCCCGCTGGAGGGCGGCACCGGCGGCATCTGGAAGGGCGTGGCCGGGCTGCTGCCCGCGGAGCGCCAGCGCTACGGCGCCAGCGTGGTGTCGCTGGACCAGGAGGGGCAGGTGGCCACTTTTGAGGACGGGCGCAAGGTGGGGGCGCTGCTGCTTGGGGCGCTTGCCACGGGGGATCTCTGCGGGGAAGCAGTCATGCAAGCGGGGGTGAAGGAGAGGGCGGCAGTCACACAAGCGGGGGAGCAAGAGTGGGGGGGCAGCGGATCGCCCGTTGCCCTCGCCTGCTGCCAGCATTCCCTCCCCGACCGACCCCCGGCCCCTGCCCTCTGCCTCGCCCCGGATCCGCGCAGGTCGCCTACGACGCCCTCATCTCCACCATCCCGCTGGACATCACCCTGCGCTGGCTGGGCAAGGACGAGTGGGCCGACGGCCTGGAGCACTCCTCCTCACACATCATCGGCATCGGTGAGGGGGCCAGCCGCGCGCCGCGCCGCGCAGCCTGCCCCTCCTCTGCCGCTGCAGCGTGCGGGCCCGCCACCGTCGTTCCCTGCCGCACCCGCTCGGCCTCCGCCCCTGTCGCCCTGCCAGCTGTGCCTGCCTTCCCCTCTGCGCCGTTTTATCGCCCGGCTGCTGCCGCAGCTGTGCGGCCCAGCCCAGCACCCTCTCTTGCCATGCTGCCCGGCCCGCCACCCTCCCTCCTCCTGGCCGTCCCACCTGCCCGACCCTCCTGTCTGCCTCTGCGGCCCCGCCTCCCGCCACCCGCAGGCATCCGCGGGCGCTGCCCCCACGGCCTCAAGTGCTGGCTGTACTTCCCGGAGGACGACTGCCCCTTCTACCGCACCACCGTGTTCAGCCACTACGCCAAGAAGAACTGCCCCGCAGGTGGGCGGCCCCGCGGCTGCCGTGCGGCTGCCGCGTGGGCTGCGGCTTAGGCCTGGGGGTATGGTTTGCCTGGGGTTGCCTGGAAGGAGGGGGCCTGCTGAGCTAGCCTACAAGGGAGCTCGCCTGTGCAGAGCTCTTGCCTGCTCTGAGCCCGTCCGCCGTGCCCTCCCCGCCACCCCCACCCGCTGCAGACGACGCCAAGCTGCCTACGCTGTGTAAGGCCGACGGCAGCGACCCGGAGCCCGGCAGCGAGGAGGCCAAGGAGGGGCCTTACTGGTCGCTGATGTTCGAGGTACGGGTGCGGGACGCAGGTCGTGCAAAGCGTGACAAGGGCAGCGGCCGCTGCCCTGCGCGTGGCACAGCTGCGCGGTGTGGTGCGCTGCACGCGCAGCTTGCGGGCCTGTGTGTTTGCTGCTGAGCAGCTGGCGGCGGGCTGCCCCCTCCGCTCCCGCAGGTCAGCGAGAGCAACATGAAGCCGGTGAACCAGGGAGACGTGACGCTGGGCGGCACCGCGGGTGGGTGATTCCCTCCCCCCCTGCACACCCACGCCTGGCTAGTCTGCATGCCGGCTGCTCCCCTGCTTGCTCCCCTTCATGCTCCTGCGCGTCTGGCCTCCCCCATGCATGCGAGCATGCAAGCTCCACCTCCGCCGCGGCACCACCCCACCCCTGCACGCCCCCTGCCCTGCCCCGCCCCAACAGCCTCCCCGCCCCCTGCCGCAGGCACCTGGTCTGAGGTGGTGCGCGACACGCTGCTGGGCGCCATCTCCACGCAGCTGGTGCAGCCCGGCGACGAGATTGTGTCGATCTACCACCGCCGCCTGGAGCACGGCTACCCCACGCCCAGCCTGGGCCGCGACGGCGTGCTGAAGCAGGCGTTGCCCTGGCTGCGCAAGAGCAACATCTGGTCGCGCGGCAGGTGCGCGGCGCGTGAGCCTGTGTGCCTGTGGGGCCGGTGGGTGTGGGTGCCTGTGCTGCTGGCGGGAGGCACCCTGGCGGCCGGCAGCGAGGGAGGAGCCTGCTGCAGGGCTGCTTTCAGGCTGGGCGCAGGCTGCGGCGTGGCCACTACCTGCCCTTACTCCCCATCCCCCTCATCCTGCCTTGTCCTCACCTGCCTTCTCCCGTCCCTGCCTCCTCCCGCCCTTCCCTCCCCCGCCCCGCAGGTTTGGCAGCTACAAGTACGAGGTGGCCAACCAGGACCACTCGCTGATGCTGGGGGTGGAGTGCGTGGACAACATCCTCTTCGGCAGTGAGTGTGCTGCGGGGCGGGGCGGGGCGGGGCGGGGCTGGTGGTGGATGCAGGTGGGTATGGGTGCCTGGTGGGGGAGTGGTGCATCTCGCCGCCAGGTTTTCAAGCGCCGCCCGCAAGCGCGCTCGGCGGCCTGACCACCGACGTGCCCGCCCCTTGCCCTGCCTCGTGCCCCTGCCCGCAGGCCAGGAGCTGACGCTGGAGTTCCCCAACGTCGTCAACCCCCGCAAGAACATGGAGCTCAAGGTGCTTATGGGGCTCTGGGGTGTGTTGTGGGCGGTGCAGGGGCCGACAGGTTGGAGGCGGGGCGCTTTGCGGTGGGGCACGCAGCGCTGGGCAGAGAGGCGCTCTGGCTGCAGCGGCGGGCGCTGCAGGTCCTGCTTGCCCCTGGCTGGCCAGCAGCAGGTGGTGCCCATTTGCCTGGTAGCACAGGAAAAAGCCGCTCACCGCCCCCGCTCCTGCCTGCCTCACCTCCCCGCTGCAGTACACCACCCCAGGCGTGATGCCCGGCCTGCTGAAGGGCGCCAGGCCTGTGAGCGTGAGCGAGGCGCCGCTCACCAACTGAGCCCTGCGTGCCGCCCTCTCCTGACCGGCAGCTCTGCCGCATAATGCCATTGGCACTCGGCACTTACTTTGCGCCTCCCTGCCTCTCTGCCAGCACTTGGGCTGGACCCTCTAGCTAGCCAGCCTCTTCTCCCGCCAGGCCCCCCACACCTCAGCCTCAGTAGAAGGCCCTAGGCAGCTTCTGCTTGCTGCTCCCGTCTGTCTCTCCCTGGGTGCGCCGGTCAATTGTGTGCAGCCCGCCACCCCGCTGCTTCACTCCTCGCCTTCCCTCCTTTCCTTCCTCCCGTCCTCTTCTTCTTCCTTCTTCGGACAACGCATTTTGTTCTGCATCTTTGGACACATACCTTGTACTGGCGTTACTAGCCACCCTGTAAACACTGCACAATCCCGGCGGCGCTGGTTGGCGGGTGGGGGCGCCAGGCAGCCAGCAGCGCGCCGACCTGTTTGGTCCTGGCACAGCTGCCACAAAGCTGTTTGATTGCTTTACATGCCAAGGGATACATCAACGGAGGGTCTGGGGCCGGATGTAAATGAAATCAGTGCATGGCCCACCGGGTGGGTGGAATGAAAGTCATTGCTGCGACGAAGCGATATCAACATGGGATCCGAGTTTGAGGCGGGCGAGCGAAAGAAATCAGAGGCCGAAATAGCGGCACGCATGTTTCATGTCAATTAATTAATCTCAATCTGTGTCCAGCGACAGGTCAGGATGCTCCCACCGCCGCCATATTAGTACTGTGTGTGCGTCAGGGCCAAGGGTATTGGCTGTGCAGAGCCGGGCAGCTACCTAGATGCCCTCGTCCTCGAAGCGCCGCGTGCCGCCTGCATGTGGCAGAGGGTCGTGCTAAGACCCAGACCCCCTCCTCAAACGCGTCCTCACAGGGCAGCAACCCAGGGGGCAGCCCCACCCAGCCTCCGACACCACAACCCCCAGCTGCACACAACCCCCCCATTGCTCACCATAGGTGATCCAGGCCAGCAGCTGCTTGCTGGTCAGGCTGAGAATCATGTACCACCACTCCGCCTGGGCAAACCCGCGCCAGCCACGCACCTGCAGCCCGCGGGCAGCGAGGGGGTCGTGGGCAAGGGCAGGGCAGGCGCCGGCGCGAGCGCATCACCCGCATGCGCTGGCCCGCGCCGGGGGCGCCCTGTGTAGGCCCTTTGCCCCCGCACGGCTCCCGCCTCCCAAGCCGCAGGCTGGCCCCTGCCCTTTCCCCTCCTCCTGGCAGCAGCGCCACCACCAACACCAGAACCACCACCACTGCCACCGGCCGCCCCACCTGCTTGAACTGCAGGGCCTGGTTGACGGCAAACATGATGTAGAGGAAGGAGAGGATGAAGAACAGGCTCCACACAAAGGTGGGAGGGTCGCCGTTGCTCACGGCCTGCAGCGGCGGCGGTGGCACGGTTGAGGCGGCAGCCCGGTGGCAAGCGGCCGGCCAGCCCACCAGCTCCGCCAACGCAACCGGGCCTGACGAGGCCTCCTGCTCAAGAGGCGGCCTGCCACCCCCCTCCTCTGCCCGGCACGAGCGCTCTCTCGGCCCTCTCCCAGCTCTCCCACAAAGGGCAGCCTCAGCTGCCTCAGCTGCCTTTCACAGCTGCCTCCCAACTGCCTCTCAGCTGCCTCCTGCCTGCCTCACCTGGAAGAAGTAGCAGCCCGTGACCAGCTCCACCGCCAAAAAGGGCCAGCAGCCCATCCAGAAAGGCCCCCAGTCGACGCGCTGCGCGCCGGGCGCGGCGCCGTCGCCGCCGTCGGCAGCGCCGTCGGCGACAGGGTTTGTTGTGAGGAAGGCGGCGGGCAGGCCGGCGCCAGAGCCGTCCTTGGCCAGCGCAGGCGGCGCCTTGGAGTCGTCGGAGTAGGCAAAGGTGGGCAGGCGGGCGCCGTTGGACACCTCCATCTGGTGCCCAAACAGCATGGTGGTCTGCGGGGGGCAGCGGCCGCGGCGGCGTGGGTGGCGCACGTCAGGCTGCCGGGCCGGCCATCCCTTGCCCGGCCTCCCGGCGGCGCGCCATGGGGACTTCTCTCTGCGCCGGCCGTGGATCGCCGGCCCCGCGGCCGCCTGCCGTGTGCAAGCATTCGCCAGGCTGCTGGGGGGATGAACCTTGTCGAACAAGCAAGCAAAACAAGGGCGGCTCTCGGCTCACCGCCATGAGGGCGGCCAGCGTGAAGAGGAGGTGGATGTCGGTCACGCCGCACAGCTGCGCAATCATCACGCTCATCAGGCTGGCGCTCACTGCGGGGCGGCGGCCAGGTGGGGGTGGGGGGGGCAAGGGATGGCATGGGCAGCGGGGAGTGGGGTGGGGAGGGAGGTGGGAGAGGTAGGTGCCAGCGACGGTTGCGGAGCATGCCGGGCCTGCCGGCCAGCGCACCGGAGTACTCGGCCCATCGGAAGGGGTTGCGGTTCTGGCACAGGCAGCGGTTGTAGTAGGCGTTGACCCTGGGCAGGATGACCAGCAGGTGGTCGACCGCGGACAGCAGCAGGAAGACGCCGCTCCAGACGGCGATGGGGAAGCTGGCCACCTGCTTGGGTGCCGGGCTGCAGGCGGGGTGGTCCCAGGGAGACACTCTGGGTGCTGGGGGGGGGCCACCGGGGAGGCCCAGGCTCGAACGAGGCATGCGCCTGCTGACGAGCGGAGCGCCGCTGGTAGGTGGCAGGCGGCGGCGGCGGCGGCGGCGGCGAGTCTACCACTGCCTCACCTGTAGAAGTCGGACTCCGCGCCGTTGTCCCTGGACCAGGATGCGACGAAGAAGGTGTACCAGGGGAGCTCGGACTTGGGATCGTAGGGGGAGATGGCCAGGATGGCGGCGCCCGCGACCAGCTGCAGGGTACCCACCGCGGCGTTCCACCAGCGCAGGCGCGCGAATGTGAGGGGCGCCATGGTGCGGAGTGGAGTCGGGCGAAATTGACTGGTGCTCTGGGGAGCGCGCCAGGGTGCTGCAGCAGCTGGGCCGTCCTGGATGCATGATGACGTGGCCGCAGGAGTTGAATGAAGGTTCCATCAAACCCATTGATTTGGGGTTTTGATGGTCACACTCCACCTACCACATTCCCAATTGTGTAGCCCTGGGCCCGCTCAGAGCAAGGAGGAGGGGTGGTGGCCAGCGCATGCACATGGCGGCGGCGGCGGCGACAGCGCCCAGTTGCTGCCTGGTGGCGGTGGTGGTGGTAGGTGGCTGTGGGGGCTGGCGGGCCGCAGCCACCGACCGAAAGACATGGAGCGGAAGCCGTGCAGCGGCTGCCCGCCAGGAGTTCCGCCTGCGGCAGCCGTGCAGCCGCGGAGCGGCTGCACCTGGCTGGGGGTGGCTGCGGCGGCCAGCAGCCGCGGAGCTGCTTGCTGGGGATGCAAGCAGGCGGTGTTGGAAGGCGGAATCAGAACCAGCCGCGGAGCAGCTGCCCGGGGGGCGCCGCTGCAGCGGTGCCGGCCCTCTGGCGCCACTGGCGGCAGCGGCAGCTGCCACCAACCAGCCGCGGAGCGGCTGCAGCTGGGTGGGGGTGCCTGCCGCGGCGGCCAGCGGCCCGCGGCAGCGGCCGCTGCCAGCGGCCAGCCGCAGAGCAGGGTGGGTGGGAAGGGTTGGGGTTGGGGGGCTGCTTTCTGTTCTGTTGCAGCTGGCGTGCCCCCTGTGTGCAGCCAAGGAGGGGATGCCCCAGCGGGCGCAGCCCGCCGCCAGCGGCGGCGGCAGCGGCCGCCAACAGCGGCCAGCCGCGGAGCGGCTGCCCCCTGTGGTGCAGCTGGCTGGGGTGGGCTGTAGCATGCCCCCTCTGGGGGCAGCCGCGGAGCGGCTGCCCTGGTGGGGGCGGCCAGTGGCCGCTGGCAGCGGCAGCTGCCACCAGCCAGCCGCGGAGCGGCTGCCTGGGGGTGGTGCGGGGCAGCCGGCTGGTGCTGTGAGTGGGCCAATCCCACTGAACTGCAATTGCAGAAAAGTGCACCTGACTGACTGACTGAGATTACAGAGAACCGGGCCCTTTAAAGGGCTGGGGACACACAAGCCGTGTGTGTGTGTGTGTTTTACAGGGATTGGGCACATTAATGTGCTGGGGCCGAACCCGCTAACCCTGCCGGCTGTCCAGAGCGAGGAAAATCTGGCCGCCGATGGCATCCCGGGGAGGCTCCGTCTTGCAAGCGCCATGCCGGTCTGCCGGGCAGCCGTCCGCCGCCCAGATGCCGCCACGAAGGTGCCGTGAGGCAAAGTCCCAGCTAGTGTCCCGGCTGGGGTTCGAACTCGTGCCTGTGGTATCACCCACCGGCACTCATCCAGCTCCTTATTTAACGTCGCGGCCAACGACGGAAAGCCAGCGACTGACTGAGACTGACTGAGATTACAGAGAACCGGGCCCTTTAAAGGGCTGGGGACACACAAGCCGTGCCCACTAGCTCTGGACAATATAAGTACGAAACCAACCAACAGACAGGGCGGCGGAGCGCGGGGCTGCGAGGAGCCGATCGGGCACAGCGGGCGGCAGGGAAAGCGGAGGGTGCCTGGGAGCCAGCCCAGTGACTGTCAGAGAGGTGTGAGGAGGGGAAACGGGGGGCAAAAGACAGGGGAAAGAGGGGGATCAAGGGCCAGGACCGCCAGCAGGCGGCGCAAGCGGCTCCGAGACGCCACCCACCCCGGCACAGAAGCTGGGGGAGCGGCCAGGCGGGCGGGCGGGGACCGCCTCAGAGGGCAGGCGACACAGGGGGTCAAGGCTCAGGTCAGATCACACGGGAGAAGGGGGCAGCCAGCGACTGACTGACTGACTGAGATTACAGAGAACCGGGCCCTTTAAAGGGCTGGGGACACACAAGCCGTGCCCACTAGCTCTGGACAATATAAGTACGAAACCAACCAACAGACAGGGCGGCGGAGCGCGGGGCTGCGAGGAGCCGATCGGGCACAGCGGGCGGCAGGGAAAGCGGAGGGTGCCTGGGAGCCAGCCCAGTGACTGTCAGAGAGGTGTGAGGAGGGGAAACGGGGGGCAAAAGACAGGGGAAAGAGGGGGATCAAGGGCCAGGACCACCAGCAGGCGGCGCAAGCGGCTCCGAGACGCCACCCACCCCGGCACAGAAGCTGGGGGAGCGGCCAGGCGGGCGGGCGGGGACCGCCTCAGAGGGCAGGCGACACAGGGGGTCAAGGCTCAGGTCAGATCAGACGGGAGAAGGGGGCAGCCAGCTGCCAACGAGGAGAGGGGAGAAAGGGGGACGCCAGAGAAAGCACACCGAGCGGCAGCGCGGCAGGCACAGCAGCGCACGAGCAAGCACAGGCGCACAGGCACTGCAGCACACTGCCGGCGGGTCCCCGATGGCGTGACTGCGGAAAAGCGCAACCACCTCCACTGGTTCCAAGCACACCTCGCACGGCGCAATAGCCAGTCAAGGGGCACCACAGCCAGGCAGCAGCCGACAGCGCACGGGCAACCAGATGCAAGCCGGCACAGCAGGCGAGCAGCGCGGCAGCAAGGCGGCGGGCACAGGGCAGGCAGGCAGAAGATGGGCAAGAGGGAAGACGGACACGAGAAAAGGGGTGAGGAGGGCACAGTCAGGAGAAAGGCGGGGAAGGGCCAGCGGAGCTGTCTGACGATCTAGCAGGGGGAGGTACAGGAGGGGGGCGGAGCCGAACGCGGCCGCCGGTAGAGAAGAAAAAGGGGTGGGCAGGGCCAAGGCTGTCAACCCAAGAGGCCGGGGCACAGCCCAGGGCCTCAAAATCAGCGAGAAGGGACCAGAAGGACTGGAGAGCCGCGCGGCGGGCAGCCTCCAGCGGCGTGGCTGCGGGATGTGGTGCTGCGGGGCCAGGCGCGGCCGGCTCCAGCGGCGGGAGAAGGGGGCAGCGATCTGTGATCTGTGATCTGTGATGTTACAGAGGCAATGCCCATTAATGGGCTGGGGGCACACAAGCCGTGCCCACTAGCTCTGGACTGTATGAAAGCATGCAATACCGCCCGGGCGGCAAAGGGCGGGCTCAGGGAGCGGTCGGGCGCAAAGGGCGGGGAGGGAGGCGAGGGGCGCCTGATGGCCAGCCCAAGGGCGGCAAGCATACCAGTGGGGGGGAGGGGCAGGTCGAGGACCCGCAGCGATCTGTGATCTGTGATCTGTGATCTGTGATGTTACAGAGGCAATGCCCATTAATGGGCTGGGGGCACACAAGCCGTGCCCACTAGCTCTGGACTGTATGAAAGCATGCAATACCGCCCGGGCGGCAAAGGGCGGGCTCAGGGAGCGGTCGGGCGCAAAGGGCGGGGAGGGAGGCGAGGGGCGCCTGATGGCCAGCCCAAGGGCGGCAAGCATACCAGTGGGGGGGAGGGGCAGGTCGAGGACCCGCAGCGATCTGTGATCTGTGATCTGTGATCTGTGATGTTACAGAGGCAATGCCCATTAATGGGCTGGGGGCACACAAGCCGTGCCCACTAGCTCTGGACTGTATGAAAGCATGCAATACCGCCCGGGCGGCAAAGGGCGGGCTCAGGGAGCGGTCGGGCGCAAAGGGCGGGGAGGGAGGCGAGGGGCGCCTGATGGCCAGCCCAAGGGCGGCAAGCATACCAGTGGGGGGGAGGGGCAGGTCGAGGACCCGCACACCACCACCACCAGAAAGCGGGCCCACCCACCCCGGCACAGTAGCTGGGAGAGCGGCCAGGCGGGCGGGCGGGGGCCGCAAAGGTGAAGGCGGCACGCGGGAAGACCGGGCAAGGGGAGGACGGGGCAAGCGCAAAAGCGCAAGCATCTGCGGGTTACGGGGGGGAGAGTAGGGGCGTGACGACCAGAACGGCAGGCACGGAGTGAGCGAAAAGAGGGGGGGACGGCGGGCCGCCCGGCACGCGGCGGCAGCAGCAGCAGCGGCCTGCCCGAACGCAAATCGCTCGGCGGCAACAGGCTCCTCCGCCAAGCCACGCCACCCCACGGCTCAATTCGCTGAAGGGAAAGCACCAGGGCTTGGGGCCGCGACACACGGAAGCGGGAATTGGGGGGAGGGGCTGGCGCGCACAAAACGCGTCGTAGGGGGCGAACAAGTCGCAGAGGGGGTGGCCGGGCACCAACGGGGCACACGGGGGCTCATACAACGGGCCGGGAGCCGGCACCGGCCCGAGGGGGTGTTCGCCGGACTAGCCGAGCCGCGGGCGCCGCAGGGCCCGGGGCACCCCTCCACGCACCATCAGGAGGCCATCTCGAGTGCGGGCAGTTGCAGAATGGGCGGCTGGCGGGCCAAGCGAGCCGGCGATGCTGCGGTCGCCCTCGTCCTGCGTCCCCAAGGCAGGGTGTTGCTCAAGAAGGGCCCCAGAGGAGCGGGAGGGGGGCGCGGGGCCCGGCCGCGCCGGGGGACTCGAGCAAGGAACGATGAACAACGCAGCGCGGGATCCTTTGAAAAATGCGTTTTCCGCGGTCATAGTGTCCCCGTATTTGGTTACGGCACGCTCACTCCTCCATAGTCTAGTGGCTAGGATACACGGCTCTCACCCGTGAGACCGGGGTTCAATTCCCCGTGGGGGAAAGTTTTTGCACACTGAGCAGGGGGTGGTGGGTGCCAGGGGCCTGCCCCCAAACCTTCCCCGTGGGGGAACGTTTTTGCACACTGAGCAGGGGGTGGTGGGTGCCAGGGGCCTGCCCCCAAACCTTCCCCGTGGGGGAACGCTTTCGGTGGGGGCGGCACCCTTGCCCGCTTGCCCGTGGGGGACCACTTTTGGTGGGGCGGCGCCTGCCACACCCCTGCCCCCTTATCCAAGCACCACATGCAGCCAATCCCTTTCGGCGCCATGCGGCAGCGTGGCTGTTCACAGATGTGCCAACTAATGCTGCGAAGTAGGCAGAGCAGAGCAGCGAGGTGGGACGTAGGGCAGCGGGAAAGGAGGGAGGGCCCAGCTGGCGGCGCCAGGCCGGCAAATGGCAGTGCTGGGAGGGAGCAGGGCGAGGGGAGAGCTGGGAAGCAAGTGGGGGCAGGGAGCAGCAAGCAAAAGGGAGAGGGAGCATGGGGACACTCCAGCGAAGCGTGGGACAAAGGAGCGGGCGAGGCAGCCCGGCATCCACAGCCCCATGGCAGCGAGGCCGGCCTACTTCTTGCCGCCGCTGGTCACATTGAACTTCCAGTGCTGCAGCAACCAGGGGGGCAGCGGCGGCAGGTGCATCAGAGGCAGCGGCACCACTGGCAGTGGGAGCAGTGGCACAGCATGCCCGGCTGGTTGCATCGGTTGGCCACTCGCGGCAAGGGGTGCTGCCATCCACTGCCGCCTTGCACTGCCTCTACCCCACCACCCCCGCCATCGCCGCTCACAATGATGTCTCCATCCTGCACCTCATACGTCTTGCCCTCTTGCCGCCAATTGCCCGCAGACTTGACGGCTGCAGGGGCAGGCCGGGCAAGGCGTGGCGGTGGCTGAGCCAGCGGCAGCAGCAAGTTTGCAGTCCTGGAAGAGCTGTGACTCTGCCACGGCCAGCCAGTACAGCCGCCCCCAGCTGCCCTCCTCCCGCTGCCTGCCGCCTCCGCCGCCCCGCCAGCTTCACCTGCTTCGCTGCCGTGTTCCTTCATGTCTGCAAACGCCATGACCTCTGCGCAGATGAAGCCCCGCTCGAAATCGGAGTGGATGGCGCCCGCCGCCTGCGGCGCCTTGGTGTGCTCCCGGATCTGCCAGCACCGCACCTGCGCTCACAGCACGCACAGCACGCACAGCGGGGAGGGGCCAGTGGTGGGCGAGGGTCGTGCAGAGGCGCCGTGGTGGCAGGGCGAGGCAGGCAGGCAGGCTGAACAGGCCGCATGCGCGGCCAACACACAGATACGCAACACGCAGCCGCCGCGATCAGTGGCATCCACCCAAAGCGCCGCCTGCGCACTGGTGGGAGCCCAGCGGCCACCCACCTCCTGCACCCCTGCTGTGAAGTAGTAGATGAGCCGTACTGCCTTGAACCCCGCCGTCACAATCTTGGGCAGCGCAGACTGCACCTCGTGCTGCACGCCAGGTCGGGGAGGGGAGGGGAGGAAAGCGGCGGGGCGTGCGGCGTTCAGCCAGGCCGGTGGCGCACCAAGCGGGCAGCGGGCAGCGGGCAGCGGGCGGCGGCAGACAGCAGACAGCAGTACATGCGGTACGGTTCCGTACCTCCTGGCAGTACACTTCCCGCTCGTCCTCCGGCATGTCGAGCAGCTTGGCCTCCAGGGCGCCGCTGCAGGAGGGCGGGGCGGGCGTAGGCTGGTGGTGGGTCTGCGAGTGAGCGGATGCTCTGCCAAGGGACAGCTGCCAGGGGGCAGCAGAGCCTGGCAGCGTGCCAGCCCGCGGCCACGGCATCCCTGCTGTGCGAGGCGACCATGCCGCAGCCACCAGTCAGCCCAGCCAGCCAGCCACCAGGCAGGCGCCAACCGCCACCAGCCTACGCCCGCCCCGCCCTCCTGCAGCGGCGCCCTGGAGGCCAAGCTGCTCGACATGCCGGAGGACGAGCGGGAAGTGTACTGCCAGGAGGTACGGAACCGTACCGCATGTACTGCTGTCTGCTGTCTGCCGCCGCCCGCTGCCCGCTGCCCGCTGCCCGCTTGGTGCGCCACCGGCCTGGCTGAACGCCGCACGCACCGCCGCTTTCATC